GAGGGGCTTGGACTTCCAGCAGGCATGCGTGAGCGTGTTTGATAGGAGTGAATGGAGACAAATGGTTTTTAATACTTGACGTGCTGTTGGAGTGTGAGCAAAGTAACATTTATGAAGGGATTCAGGGAAACCGGCAGGCCGGACTTGAGTCCTGGAGATGGGAAGTACAGTGCCTGCACTCTGAAGGAGGGGTGTTAATGTTGCAGTTTAAAAACTGTAGTGTAAAGCACCCTTCTGGCAAGACAGTGATGGAGTGAATGATGGTGAAAGTTTTTCTTTTTCGGGCCACCCTGCCTTGGTGGGAATCGGCCGGTGTGATAATAATAATAAAAAAACATATTATTATTGTTATTATTATTATTATATAAATTATTTGTAATTTTCATTCACACAAAAAATACAAGATTTACTGTTATTCCTTATTGCAATAATTGTATAAATATGTCAACCCATTCATGACTGTATATTGGAATGGACAGTGACATCATTTGTTTACACTGAACAGCCAAGCAATGGACCATTTCTCATAGGCTGAGCTCAATTTCAAGGCACTTTTCATCATGAAAGCAATCAAAATCATATCTATTTCTGTAATATATCTTCCATTCTATCAAATGACACCAAAAAAAAGGAGAATACAACCATAAAAACCATCTTTCCATCATACATTGCCCAAGTTTCAATAAGATAGTCCCACAAACAAATGAGATACAATTCCCGAGATCAATTTTGCTCGCGTATGGAAGCAAAAAATCGACCCATCGGCTGCTTGTATTTGGAAAAACTCGCACGTGGACATGCTCGCAAGTAGAGGTTCCACTGTATTTTGGGATTTGTGTGGAAGTAAAGGGCAAGATATTTTGCAAAGGTCAAAAACTTAGCAACTTTATTATTTTTTTTTTGTAGAATAACTAAAGATAATTACACAATTACCTCCAGTGAGAGCATTGCACTAGCATCGTTTTATAAGTACCAAGTCCCAAAACCATCTTTCGTTGTGCCATTTAGGCCAGAGTTCATGCCAAATGTCATTTTCGGTAAAAAAATTTTCAGTAAATATTTTTTTCACTCGTAACTCAGATATTGGCTCGCAACTCAAAGCAAAAAATTGACTGAGCGACAGCTCGTAATTCAGAAAACTCGTAAGTCAAGGTACCACTGTACAGACATGCATCGCTTAATGATGGAGATACATTTTGAGAAATGCAACACTAGGCAATTTCATCGTTGTGCAAACGTCACAGAGTGCACTTACACAAATCTAGATGGTAAAGCCTACCACACACCTAGGCTGTATGGTAAAACCTAGCTGTTTATCATCATTATAAAGTACAGTGGACCCCTGGTTAACGATATTTTTTTCACTCCAGAAGTATGTTCAGGTGCCAGTACTGACCGAATTTGTTCCCATAAGGAATATTGTGAAGTAGATTAGTCCATTTCAGACCCCCAAACATACACGTACAAACGCACTTACATAAATACACTTACATAATTGGTTGCATTCGGAGGTGATCGTTATGCAGGGGTCCACTGTATTATGTACTGTACATAACTGTGTGTGCTATACTTTTATATGACTAGCAGCACAGTAGGTTTGTTTACACCAGCATTACCACAAACACGTGATTAATGTGTTATGCTCTGATGGCTACGATGTCACTAGGCATTAGGAATTTTTCAGTTCCATCATAATCTTATGGGACCACCGTCATATGTGTGGTCCGTCACTGACAGAGATGTTATGTGGCACATGATTAACGGCCCCCTTCAAGGCTGGCGACATTGCAGACCTGGAGAGTGTACAAAGAACTTTCATGGCACACATAAGTACTGTAAGGCACCTTAACTACTGGGAACAGTTGAAGGTCCTTGGTCTGTATTCCCTCAAATGCAGGCATGAGAGATACAGTGGACCCTTGACCAGCGATGGCATTGATTAACGATAAATGTGACTAGCGATACATTTTATCGCAAAAATTTTGCCTCGATTAGCTCTAAAAAACTGGACCAACACTATTCCTTCCATTTGAGACGTGTCCACTTCTGGCCAGTGTTCACAAGCCAACCAGCCACTGCGGTCGCCTCCAAGCATACAATCGGAACATTTCATATTATCACAGCCTTTTTAGTGATTGCACCTGCAAAATAAGTCACCATGGGCCCCAAGAAAGCTTTAGTGCCAACCCTACAGCAAAAAGGGTGAGAATTACTATGGATATGAAGAAAGAGATCATTGCTAAGTATGAAAGTGGAGTGCATGTCTCCGAGCTGGCCAGGCTGTACACAAAACCCCAATCAACCATCGCTACTATTGTGGCCAAGAAAACAGCAATCAAGGAAGCTGTTCTTACCAAAGGTGCAACTATGTTTTCGAAACTGAGATCGCAAGTGATAGAAGATGTTGAGAGACTGTTATTGGTATGGATAAACGAAAAACAGATAGCAGGAGATAGCATCTCTCAAGCGATCATATGTGAAAAGGCTAGGAAGTTGCATGACGATTTAATTAGAAAAATGCCAGCAACTAGTGGTGATGTGAGTGAATTTAAGGCCAGCAAAGGTTGGTTTGAGAGATTTAAGAATCGTAGTGGCATACATAGTGTGATAAGGCATGGTGAGGCTGCCAGTTTGGACCAAAAAGCAGCTGAAAAATATGTGCAGGAATTCAAGGAGTACATAGACAGTGAAGGACTGAAACCTGAACAAGTGTTTAATGGTGACACTGACAATGTTGTGAAACACGTTAGGAATGTCATAAAGGAATGGGAGGTACAGGCCTCTATGGGCAGATATGTTGTGCGACAGAAGTCCAGTGACTCTCAAGCTGGTCCTAGTGGCATTAAAAGAAGGGAAGTAACCCCAAAAAAGGACTTGCCACCTCAAGTCCTAATGGAAGGGGATTTCCCTTCTAAACACTAAGACCATCAACACACTTCCCTCTTCCCATCCCATCAATCATCACCAGATCTTCAATGAAGGTAAGCATCATGAAACTGTGCATGTCTTCTTCAGTTTGTGTGTATTAAAATTAATATTTCATGTGTTAAAAAAAATTTTTTTCAATACTTTTGGGTGTCTTGCACGGATTAATTTGATTTCCATTATTTCTTATGGGGAAAATTAACTTGACTAATGATTATTTTGACTAACGATGAGCTCTCAGGAACGGATTAATAGCGTTAGTCGAGGGTCCACTGTACATGATAATATACACTTAGAAGGTCCTGGAGGAATTGGTACCAAACCTGCACACAAAAAATCATTCCCTATGAAACCAAAAGACTCGGCAGGAGATGCAACATTCCCCCAACGAGAAGCAGGGACACCACAAGTACACTGAGAGACAACACAATAAGTGTCCGGGGCCCAAGACTGTTCAATTGCCTCCCAGCATATGTAAGGGGGATTACCAATAGATCCCTGGCTGTCTTCAAGAAGGCACTGGACAGGCACCTAAAGTCAGTATCTGACCAACCGGGAGAGGGTGTATAAAAATAAGAATATCTGATATGCTGATATATCCCATACACATGTGATCTTTTATTGAAGGGGTGATAAGGTTTTAATAATTTTCCAACTGGCCCTGAATAATTCCAGTTAAATATTATATGCAGTCCTTTGGTATAGTAATTAAGCTTTTACACAAGTAGTTAACATAACCAGTTCATCAAAAGACCCAAGATTCCTTATTAACATTTATTTAAACTTTACAATCTGGAGGGGTGATCAGCCTAAACCAGGGTATCTGAAGGATACAGCTGGGTGCAAACTAGTTGTCTCTAAGACTAATCGAAGATTAGGTAATTTCCAATCTAATAACATAACCCAGTGACCTATGTGTAAATAAATAATTATCATGTATAAATTCCCACACACAAATATATACTTAATGTGCCCATTCTGTAGTGTGGAAACCAGGACAGTGCCACAATCTAAATGGGGCATAACTGATTATGTGTAGTGCTGTAGAATAGCCCAAGGACTCCTGTTGCTTCTACTTCTTGATATAACTCCAAGCAGTCTGTTAGCCTATTTACAGATGCTTAGGCACTGCTATCTTGGCTGTAGAGTTCTGCTTACCACAATGCCAGTGTTTTCCTAAATCTTCATTATCAGCAGAGCACTGCAGGCCTACTGGCCCATGCCAGGCAGGACTAATGTACACCCAACTACACCCGCTCATGTACTTGACCAACTTATACTTAAATATATCTAAGCTCTCGCTTCAGGGACATTACTTGAAAGTTTGTTCCACTCATCTACAACTCTACTGCCAAGCTGTTATGTCCCTGTATATATCCTACCTAAATAAAAATTTGACCAACTTGAATCTGTTGCTGCGAGTACTATCTTGGGTAAATATTTTCAAAATATTATATCCCTTTATTTATTCTTGTTCCCATTTATACAAATCAATCATGTTCCCTCTAATTCTACCTTTCCAGAATGTAAATTCAATGTTATTAGCATATCGTTGCATCTATATTTTCTGACAGACGGTATCAACTTCGTCACACTTTTCTGTATATTTCCCAGTGCATTTATGACAATTCTAAAATTATAGAGACCAGAACTGAGCAGCATAATCAAGTCCAATATTATTTGGTAGATATGGGCTAAGATTGAAATAAATGGTATAAAATACCGACACAATGGAAATATAAACACATATGCAGTATAATGTGATCCTTTATTGACAACGTTTCGCCCACACAGTGAGCTTTTTCAAGATGTTTGTGACTTGAAAAAAGCCCACTATGTGGGCGAAACGTTGTCAATAGAGGATCACATTATACTGCATATGTGTTTATATTTCCATGGGCTAAGATTACTTACACGAGGGCACTAACAAAGCAATGACTGTTATATTGATGACAGTAACTTAATGGTCGACACTGCATAGCACCCATACAATATAAAATTAATTAACGATCTCCAGAAATAAGCAAAACGTCCAGACACACAAAACCAGGAAAAACCCCAGAACCTGGACTCACTCTCCCATAACGCCCGATGGTCGTCATAACACTTCTGAAGGAACTCTTGAGAGTATTCTCGTTTAGCAGAGGAGCCCATGACAGTGTATGTGACTACCTCCAGCAACGACCCTGAACGCACTGGTGCCAAGAAAAGACTACGAATACTTTGAAGGGACCGCATCGTTGCCAGCGTCTCCTGCAGTCAGCTGCTCTAACCTTATGTTAGTCCCTCAGGTTATTCAGGAATACTGCTTCCTAACTTAGACCTCATTAAAAAGTATACATATTTTATAAATTCTTTACAAAATAAATGCATACAACTTAATTTTACTTGGTTATATGTCTCGTTTCATTTATTTATTTATAAAGACTCAGAGTTGAGTAATCATCTTGATGATGGGAAATTTTTTTTAGTCCTGAATATCGACAGGTGCATGTAGTTTAGGGTGCATTTATTTGTTTATCTACAGATGGTCAATGGATATATCATATATTTATTTATTTATTTATTTATTTATTAACAATTTGAGCACACATACAGAGGTACAAAAAAATACAGATAAGAGCAGCATGCCAAAGCCACTTATACTATGCATAGCATTACGGGCTGGCTTAAAATTAACTTAAGATTAACTAAGCAATAATGAAATCAGTGATAAAACATTAATGTAAACATATTACTATAAAGCACAAGTGAGTATTACAAAGACAGGTCATATGGTTGCATGCATTGTTGTACATTCAGTCCCCTCAAGGAAGGTTCCTTGATGTTGGTGAGGGGCTCTTGATTTAGGAAATTGGATCTGTGCTCCAGTTCCCCGAATTAAGCCTGAATGCCTTCCACATCCCCCCCCCCCCAGGCGCTGTATAATCCTCCGGGTTTAGCGCTTCCCCTTGATTATAATAATAATAATGTACATTCAGTCGTATGAAGTATTCTGTTAGGTAGTGTATTTAAAAAATAATAAAGTTAGATTCGGTTTTAGGTTTAACATTTATGTGATATAATTGTGAGAAACATTTAAGATATACAATTTATAAGGTTCAGTTATTCAGTATTTATTTGGTTTTGGATGAGTAAGTGATCTTTGAGAAGAGACTTGAATTTATAAACAGGTAGTGTTTCTTTTATATTTACAGGTAATGAATTCCAGATTTTAGGGCCTTTTATGTGCATTGAGTTTTTGCATAGTGTGAGATGGACACGAGGAACATCAAAGAGTGATCTGTGCCTTGTATTATGGTCATGTGTTCTGTTGAGGTTGGCAAGTTGATTTTGAGGGGAGGGTTAATATCAGAGTTTTGTGTTCTATCGTATGTAATAGGTGCAGTAATAAGTATGGATGTTTTGATATGGTGAGTAGGTTTAGTGTATTGAATATTGGTGGGTGTGCTGCCTGTAGTGAGAATTTTGTTATCATTCTAACTGCAGCCTTTTGTTGGGTAATTAGTGGTCTGGAGATGGTTAATTGTCTGTTGAACACCATGGCACAAAATTCCATAGGTGAGATAGGGGTAAATAAGAGAGAGATATAGGGCAGGAGGCTGACTGTGGAAACATAGCACCGATCCTTCGATAGTATGCCTACAGTCTTGGTAAATTTTCTTAGAAATTTACGTATTGTATATGGGTATGGAAATTTGAGTCTATAACAAGTGGATTCCTAAGAATTTTCCCTCTGTTAAGCTTTGTGATAGGTGATCCGTTTATCATTGTGCTTAAGAGGGGACATCTGTAGCTCTGTTACCAAAAACTGAAATGAAGTAGGTTTTGCTCAATGTTTAGTGTAAGTTTGTTAGCCCTTCAATCCAGGTAGATATTTTTCTGTAATTCGGTATTACCCAGGTTTGGCTAAGCGTGACTGGGCTCGGATGAGAGAAGACGTATGTTAGTGGTCATCTTGCATATAGTGTATGGGTTTGAAGTAATTGCGAAGCATTTGGAAGGTCATTAGTATAGGAGAAAGAGAAGGGGCCAAGGTCCACTTCCTGTGGGACACCAAATTAACTGGTTTGCGCAGAAGAGTTTGCCCCATTTGCGTACACATATTGGCTTCTGTTGTGAGGTAAGACTTTAGGTAGTGAGGGAGGGCCCTCTTATACCATGTGTGACAATTTTACGTGGGCAAGTCAGGGCAACTGTATCAAAAGTTTACGAAAGTCAATGAAGCCCCCAGTGGGCTTCTTTTTTTCTATTGCAGTGTAATATTTCTAGCATTGTTAATAGATCATTAGTATTTTTATTGGGGCCTGAACCCAAAATTTTGGAGGGGTTGAGTTTTTTTTGGGAGATACGTGGGAGTAGTTTGTTTATGAATTTTTTTTTCGAAATTTTTGAGGAGAGGGTGAAAGTTGGGATTTTGGGCCTATATTATTAAACCGTTTGGTCTCCTCCTTTTTGGATCGGGTGCCCCTTGCTATTTTGAGTACTGTGGGGGAAGGTGGGGGGTTTTCAATGGATTTTTTAAAGAGTGTTTGAAAATGATTGGTGTAGCATTGTGACATTTTTTTTGTATATAAAGGGTGGAAAGGTTTTTAAATTCCTGCCTTGTTTTTTAGTGCTTGATATTGGGGGAGACTTCGTTGGGTTTAGTCGGAGCTAGGAACGTGTGTTCGGGTTTGCCGGTGAGGTAGTCATTTGGTGGGGTACCTGGATTTACCTGGAGGATTTCCCGGGGGGTCAACCCCCCCGGGGCCCCGGTCGAGACCAGGCCCCTGGTGGGCAGAGCCTATCAACCAGGCGTTGCTGTGGCTGCACGCAAACCAACATACGAGCCACAGCCCGGGTGATCCCGGGAAATGACTTTAGGGGCTTGTCCAGTGCCAGCTTGAAGATGCCAGGGGTCTGTTGGTAATCCCCCCTTTTGTGTGCTGGGAGGAGTTTAAAGTCTCGGGGGCCCCTGAATTATTGTAGCTCTTAACTGCTAGTGACACCCCTGCTTTTCATTGGGGGGATGGTGCATCGCTCCAATCTTTTGTTTCGTATGGGGATTTTCGTTGCAAGTTGGTATAGCCCCTCTAGGTTTTTCCCGGGTGTATAAATCATGTATCTCCCCCCTCCTCGTTCCGGGGGAAAATCAGGTTTGGGAACCCTCAAGCGTCCCAATAATTGAGGTGTTTTATCCCCGTTATGCGCGCCGGAAAGTTCTCTGTACATTTTCTAGGTCGGAAATTTCACCTGCCTTGAAAGGTGCTTTTAGGTGCAGAAATTCCAGCCTGAAGAACAAGTGACCTGAAGAAAGTGTCATCATGGGTTTTGGCCCCCTATTTTTGAAGGTTTCATTATCCATCCTGTCATTTTTCTGCAGATGCGATTATACAATGTTAGGCCCTTGAAGGTGAGATCCTCCGCATGATCACTCCCAGGTCTTTGACGTTGGTGTTCGCTCTATTTTGGGGCCCAGAATTTGTTTTTACTCTGATAAAATTTTTAATTTCCTCAGTTTCCCATTTTGAGAAATTTGAAATTTTCATCGTTGACTTCTATTGTTTTCTGCAGCCCACTAAAAGATTTGGTTTGTGTTGCCTGGAGTTTTGCATTTCTGCAATGGAAGACCTGTCTCAGATTCGGGTGTCATCTGAAAAGGAAGACAGGGTGCTGGGGCTGAATCCTTGTCTTTGTGGGTTTAAAAGGATGAGGAAAAAGGGGGAGCGAGTACTGTGCCTTGTGGAACAGAGCTTTTCCCGTAGTGCCTCGGACTTTACTCTGTTACGACTACCTCTTGTTCTGTTAGTGGGGAAAAATTATAGATCCATCGACCTACTTTTCCTGTTTCCTTTAGCACGCTTTTTGTGCGCTATTCCCATGGTCACATTTGTCAAAGGCTTTTGAAAAAGTCTGTATATATTAATCTGCATTCTTTTTGTCTTTAGTGCATTTAGGACCTTGTCGTAGTGGCCCAAAATAGTTGAACAACAGGAGCGACCTGTTCAAACCCCTTTTGCCCGGGGTTGTGTAATGAGGGGTTTCTAATGCGTGGTGATTTTGCTTTTAGGACCCTTTCAAAGATTTTTATGATATGGGATTGTGTATTGGTCTGTAGTTCTTTGCTTTGCTTTACTGCCCCCTTTGTGGAGTGGGCTATGTCTGTTGTTTTTATAACTGGGGAGGGGCCCCCCGTGCCATGCCCCCTCCCAAGTGGAAAAAAGGCTCTGTTTGGGGGTTCTTGCGTTCTTGTGAACACAGAGTTCCCTGAGTCTGGCCCCGGGGGAGAGTGCATGGGCATGTCATTTTCGCCGTTCGAAGTCATTTGGCGTCGGTAACATCGGATAGGCTTGTGTTAATCAAAATTTTTTGGCTCTTCATAAAAAATTCATTTTGATCTTGCTCTGTCTGGTTAGCGGCTTGCTAAAAACTGAGTCATATTGGGGCTTGGTGCTCACTCATTTCCTTGTTGTACTGTGTAGGACCCATCTTGTTTAAATAGGGGGCCCCAATACTGGCGTTGTTCTCGTTTTGATTTGGCAAGGAGAAGAAAAACTTTTGGGTTTTTTTTCGATTTATTTTTGGCTTTTAGTTCTTCCCCCGATTCCTACTCCCAAAAGGGTTTTTTTAGCTTAAGTTCGATGCTTGTAGTTCTTGACCAGTGTCTCCCCAAGCATTTTAGATATATTGACCTCTTTTAGCCCCTCTGTTATTTTTTCCCTCGCCTGTAAAGGGAGCGCCTGTCTTTTCTGTTTTTCATCTATCCTCCTTTTTTTTTGAGGAATAAGCCTTGTGCATAATCGGTGCACCCCATTAATCTGTTCTAGGATAAGTTTGGGGGCTGTGTTGCTTTGTATATCTTCCAGCTTATATCGGTTAGGACTTGGTTTTCTTGGGCCCCTTTATGTTTTTGTTATTTAAGTTGAATTTGGGGAATGCTCCCTCGGACTAAAACCCTTAGTCGGTCTGGGGCTCCGCGCATACATGACTGAACCTCAATTATGTTGGATCGAGTTATTGTTTTTGATATGGTGTATTTTTATCGATCCTCATTGTTAGTGAAGATGAGGTTTGTGTTTCTCCAGTCTAGTAGGGTCTATTATTTGCTGGTTTAAATTTAATTTTTTGCAGAGATTTAAAAGCTCGCGTGATGTGAGTTTTCATCAAGCTGCCTCCGGTGTTATTACTGCAACAATTTTTTTGCTATATTCCTCCATTTTAGGTGCCTTAATTGAAATCCCCAGGGGGCAAATTTGGGTGCAGGAGCTGGAAGGTTTTCCGACATGGTCCAATTTTTTTTA